TATATATATATATACACATATATATATATATATATATATATATATATATATATATATATATATATATATATATATATATATATATATATATATATATATATATATATATATATATATATATATATATATATATATATATATATATATATATATATATATATATATATATATATAGATATAGATATATATATATATATATACCCGATATATATATATGTATATATATATATATATATATATATATATATATATATATATATATATGTATGTATGTAAGTATATATATGTATATATATATATATATATATATTGTGTGTGTGTATAAATATATATGTTATCATATATTCATCCACCCAACGGGCTGGTTCAAACTGCAATTCTATTTGCTTGCTCATAGTAAACGCAGATTTCATATCTCGCACGCGAGTAGTATCAAGAACCCGTAATCTATGTTATAAACCCTAATCCCTAAAATTCTACCCATTGCTAACCCTTTATAGAGTGGCGGGTGGGGTAATGAAGACTGGAGTGAGCAGGACAGTGATTGGTCCGCTGATGACACACAGACCGACAGCGCAGCGCCAGAGGGTACGTATGACGGCAGTTACGGACGGCTGTGTGTATTCGGAAGACTTCAAATGGAATAAGCTGGTTTGGTGTTAGGTGTTTGTTTGCGTATGTCTCATACTACTTTGTGTACAGCCATTGAGCAATTCTGTTTTGTAGGTATTATTTGTTTTGTAGAATCGGGCAGAATAAGTCCGATTCTAACATTCCAGGTGCAGAAGATGGGTTGGTCGAGGGTGTGCCGTTGCCTGCTACTTCGAGATGGATTATAACATGATAGTCACATACTCAATACACGCACACGAACGTTACACGGGTCCGTCCTTATCCACAGCCATCCGGTCTTTTTTCCACTCAGAATGTCCTGTCACAATAACTCTCACACCCTCGTCACCACACAGAAAGTGTGAATGTCGATGCCCCACTGAGTGACTATGAGGTGCAACTGCTGAAGCAGTGGTACAAGCACGGTCACGTGGCTGTGTCACCCGCAGGTGATCTGGTTGTGGTCGGAACAAAGTAAGTGTCTGTCGGCAAATGCACCACAACCCTAAACCCTAGAACCATGCGCTTTGAGGGAACTCGAGAGCATGCAATCGTATGCATTGCTATGACAACGTGCGTGGCAAAGTACACATTTCTTGACACGTCTATGCCCGTGTGCTGGTTGATCTGCTTGCTAGGCTCACCTGTGGTGGTAGGTTTTTAGGGTTTTAGGGCTTAGGGTTTTAAAAATTGGTGGTAGTGGGACTGACTACATAACTGTGAGCAAACTATAGTCCAAATGAAACCTCAAGACCCCTAAACACAAAACTCTAAAATTCTAAAACCCTCTGTTTCAATTCTTGGACGCATTAGTATAAAAACTAAAATACGTATAAACTATATATATATATATATATACTATTTGTAAGTATATATATATCTATATATATATATATATGTGTGTGTGTGTGTGTGTGTGTGT